TAGCGTCTTTTTTTTTCTTTATCCCTTTTCGTTCGAAAGTTTCGATTTTTTAAAATTGCTCGACTATATGCTACTTTTCGATGCGTGAAAAAGTCACTTTGTTTTCCGGCTCTGTCCTCGCCTATTACTTCCATACGTAAGCGAGTAAAAATTATATACGTATCGAAAAATAACGATAATGAGCTGAGGAAACGATTCTGACCGTTAGAATTACCGTCAAATTTCGAAAAAGTAAACTTTGAGCGCCTCAAAAGTACCGATGACAGCCGTTTTCGGCGTACTTTTTTAGGCGTATTTTATCTTCTTCGATACGGATCGACATAGCTACGATTTTTTTTCGCAAAACGAAAGACCAAAGTCTCCTGATTAACCCGATATACTACACGTCAGCCGATCGCATTTGTTAAACTCGGCAGATTAGAAAATTCAAAGATATGCAGATATTTTTAGTTTGAAGTTTGTATTTTGATTTTCGCTGGAGATTCGCGATTCCTGTTAGGCGGGGTATTCTAGGTATGATCGTATTACGAAATCGAGCGCGTGCAAGCGGAACGGCTAAAACGTGCCATTTTCGGCTTCATGACGATCGCTTCATCCAATATTGGATCATAACGAATAACATTGTCCTTTTTTAGGCATTATAAAGAACGCTTTTGAATAGATCCGGAATTTCTATATTCCGAAATTAACCGGACTATAATCATAATAACAATTAAGTATGCTTTGGCAACGTTATAATTTATACCGGCAGCTAAGCATTTAGACTTTGACGTTTAGCGATTTGTTTACAAAAGTCATCATCACTTTAAATACGATAAATATGATTGTAAACCCTAATGAGTGGCATAATTTTAGATGAACGTTTATATGGATCCATCCTAAAAAGGCAAGAAGTCCACAATATAGCAAAACTTTGTTCTTATAGCAGTGTGTCCAGCAAGTGTCTAGTGGTGTCAAAGTGGTGCCCAGTGTTTACAGTTTTTCGGTTCAGACGACGTACCACAGTGTATCTATAGATAATTTATTTCATCTTTCAAGGCGTTTGAGAGGGGTTTGAAAGGTAGCCTTATTAATCGTCAGCAAATTTAAATGAGGTAAACAATTTTCATTCCTGTCTTTTACCCCCAACTATGTAGTGGAATCGGGTTTGACGTTTAGCAGTTTATAGAAGTCATCATCAGTTTAAATACGATAAATATGATTGTAAGACCTAATTAGTGCCAAAGATCAATTCCTGAAGAGACCGGAAATCCACAACATTGCAAGACTTTGTGCTTATAGCAGTGCATTATTGTCTAGTGATGCCGGGTGCCGAGTGTTTACAGTTTTTTGGTTCAGACGAAGTGCCTCAGTGTATATCTATCGTGATAATGAATTTCATATTTGAAGAAGTTTGAGAGGTACTCTTATTAATCGTCAGCAGATTTAAATAATGTAAATAATTTGTCAAATCAGAAAACATTTACACTGAAGAAAGAACAGTCCCGTGCTATCCTTAGGCGAACACGGTTGACATATGCGACGTTGCCGGATCCTCACATAAATCTGAGTTTGTCATACAATTTTATAGAGGGCATTAATGCTATATCGAAGATTTTAGAACGCCATGTGTGTTATTAACAACGGCACATGCGACGTTGCCGGCTCCTCACATAAATCTGAGTTTGTCATACATTTTTATAGAGGGCAAATCTGAGTCTGTTATACAATTTTATACAGGGTATTTTTAATGCTTTATTGAAGATTTTATAACACCATGTGTGTTATTAACATATCTTTGCTGTCTCCACAAGTAAGTATTCACTTATATTTTGAAACAGCAGGGTCTATAACACAGGACATTATCAAAATCATCCATATATCCTAAGTATTTGAAATTTTGACAACAGTAAGATATCTACAACAATCAATAATATTTATGACATATGACAGATGACGGATAACTGGTGACAGGTGACAGGTAGCAGGTAAGAGATAACAGATAACAGATAACAGATAACAGATAACAGATAACAGATAACAGACAACAGACAACAGACAACAGACAACAGACAACAGACAACAGAACAACAACAGACAACAGACAACAGACAACAGATAACAGATAACAGATAACAGATAACATAACAGTAACAGTAACAGATAACAGATGATAACAGATTAACAGATAACAGATGATAACAGATGATAACAGATGATAACAGATGATAACAGATACAGATGATAACAGATGATAACAGATGATAACAGATGATAACAGATGATAACAGATGATAACAGATGATAACAGATGATACAGATGATAACAGATGATAACAGATGATAACAGATTGATAACAGATGATAACAGATGATAACAATGATAACAGATGATAACAGATGATAACAGATGATACAGATGATAACAGATGATAACAGATGATAACAGATGATAACAGATGATACAGATGATAACAGATGATAACAGATGAATAACAGATGATAACAGATGATAACAGATGATAACAGATGATAACAGATGATAACAGATGATAACAGATGAATAACAGATGATAACAGATGATAACAGATATAACAGATGATAACAGATGATAACAGATGATAACAGATGATAACAGATGATAACAGATGATAACAGATGATAACAGATGATAACAGATGATAACAGATGATACAGATGATAACAGATGATAACAGATGATAACAGATGATAGCAGATGATAACAGATGATAACAGATGATAACAGATATAACAGATGATAACAGATGATAACAGATGATAACAGATGATACAATGATAACAGATGATAACAGATATAACAGATGATAACAGATGATAACAGATGATAACAGATGATAACAGATGATACAGATGATAACAGATGATAACAGATGATAACAGATGATAACAGTATAACAGATGATAACAGATGATAACAGATGATAACAGATGATAACAGATGATAACAGATGATAACAGATGATAACAGATGATAACAGATGATAACAGATGATAACAGATGATAACAGATGATAACAGATGATAACAGATGATAACAGATGATAACAGATGATAACAGATGATAACAGATGATAACAGATGATAACAGTGATAACAGATGATAACAGATGATAACAGATGATAACAGATGATAACAGATGATAACAGATGATAACAGATGATAACAGATGATAACAGATGATAACAGATGATAACAGATGATAACAGATGATAACAGATGATAACAGATGATAACAGATGATAACAGATGATAACAGATGATAACAGATGATAACAGATGATAACAGATGATACAGATGATAACAGATGATAACAGATGATAACAGATGATAACAGATGATAACAGATGATAACAGATGATAACAGATGATAACAGATGATAACAGATGATAACAGATGATAACAGATGATAACAGATGATAACAGATGATAACAGATGATAACAGATGATAACAGATGATAACAGATGATAACAGATGATAACAGATGATAACAGATGATAACAGATGATAACAGATGATAACAGATGATAACAGATGATAACAGATGATAACAGATGATAACAGATGATAACAGATGATAACAGATGATAACAGATGATAACAGATGATAACAGATGATAACAGATAACAGATAACTGATAACCGACACCTGACACCTGACAACTGACAACGTATAACTGATAACTGATAACAGATAATTGATAACTGATAACTGATAACTGATAACAGATAACTGATAACTGCCAACAGATAACAGGTTTCAGGTAACTGGTAACTGATAACTGATAAGTGATAACTGATAACTGAAAATTGAAAACTGATAACAGATAACAGGTAACAGGTAACAGATAACAGATAACCGATACCAGATACCAGATACCAGATACCAGATAACAGATAACAGATAACAGATACCAGATAACAGATAACAGATACCAGATACCAGATAACAGATAACAGATCAAAGATGCCAAAGGTTAAAAAATGATTAGAGATAGGGATAAAGTATATCGCTAGCATTGCATTAGCATACCAGCAACTGCGCTACGTGAGGTTTTAAATAAAGATATCAACGTAGAATATTTTGCATAGCGTTAGCATGCCATCAACTGCGCTAGTTAAACATATCATTGAATGACATTGGCAAAAACAATCATCATCAGAACCTCATTAAGCTTCAGTTTTTTCTGTCAATTTTTGAGCTTGCTCAAAACAGTGTTTCCAAAAGGATCAAACATTATTAGTGTGCTCAAATACTTGGAAATTGAATGCATTCTTTTTTCAAACTTCCTTGTTTCATGTGAGACGACCAGTATTGTCTGTAATACACATTTGTCATTGTTTCTTAAATACAAACCTATTTTGGGAATTTTTATCAACGTTTTTAAAAGTTTGTTAAATTCTTTACGTTTGTGTGAGATTTTTGCTGATTCGTGGGAAGTACAAGTCAAAGTGGTGTGAACTTGGATGACAAAATATAGCAAACAATTTAGCAAAGATGCTCGAATTCTCGGTTCACAAAATTTCAGGGTGAAAATGAACTGTAATTTATATTTTTATCTGCTCACTATATGCGTTTTAGCTCAATAATTACCTCAATACCATATACAATAATCTATAAGTGATTTGATTGGAAAAAATATTTTGGGATAGGTTTTAACCTTTCGAATTATTTAGTTGGGGTGGAAAATGATTCTCCCTATGAGTGTGCTTATCCTCGTCCATTGAATATTTCGTTATGGCTAATGTGTATTTATTGCTGCAGGCCCTTAGCTCTGTATTTTTCTCAATCAGAGACTGTTTTACGATGTCGACCTCAGTAATCATTCGGGTATCTTCAGCAAATTGTCTGCAACATTTTGTCTGAAAACTTCACATCCATCCAAGCCAATCTATTTGACTTCATTCTCAATTGATATATTACATTTGATTTTTGGTTTTCTCAAGACCTGTGTTTAGAATATTACATCACAGAGATGTATGCAAAGAGTTGCAGTCGACTCCAACTGCCAGGAAGTTATATAGAATAGATCATTGCCACTCTAGGAATAATTCTAGAGTAGAGCTAAAGTATGGTACCTCAATAACAGCCAAATCATCATCATCTCTTGGCACCGTGGGGTATGATGGGAAGAAGAGCGACCTCTTTACCTTATCCTCTACCAACATTAGCAACACTTCGCATCAGAAGCACGCTACGATAACTGTACGAGAATGTATGTGGCACTAAGTTAGACCAAGACATTATTAGCGGATTCTAGCGATACAGTTAATTTTTTTACCTAAAAATTTTGTCACGTTTTGCTCTTGCTTACTTCTAATTATATACAAAATTCATTCACATAAGACCATTTCCAATTGAAAAAATGTTTAGTCAATGACATGGTATCGTGTATGATCTAGTTATCACATTTGCTAAACGTTTTTCCAGGAAAGTCATTTTCTGTTTTGGGGAACATGAAGTTGTTAATGTTTTGACAGTCTATGCCATTAAATAGGGAGATTATGTATAAGAAAATTTTACAGTTTGAGCGAAGGTAACTTTTTAGTGATATCGTTACACTATTGCTTTCCTAATGACATGTTGAAATTGGCATCATGACAGGGCTGGAGTATTTGCCGTCATTTTGATAAACGCGTTTAATTGAAAATATCGAGGACAATCGATCCTATATAAAAACGTAATATAGAAACGATTTTGGGGCTAATTAAATTGTTTATCATTTTGCTTTTATAAAAACATGTATTTATCAACAGGTTACAAGAGAATTAAGGGCAAAGGTACATGTAATGATATTTTCGGTTATAATGGCTAAACTAAGAACCTAAGAGTATAAAACACTACTACGTTTTGTAGAAAAGAAAATTTGCTACAAAAAAGATCTTTTACGTTTTTTGGGCATTTTATTGGTTCTTAAAAGTATGAAAAATTAATCCTGACGCTACATATGTACGTGGTCCTCTTGATCGGCACACAACATTATTTCACGTGAAAATAACTGTATAATCATTACCCATCACCAAGAATACTAAAACGTAAAAGCATGGAAAATTTATATTTTTTGATAATTCGTGATTTTTTTTCATTATGAAGATCAAGTCACTCCCATCTGTCTGTCTATCTGGCGATTTTGTCACTGAGTAATTTCACCGATTCTAATGGAGGTACATAATACAGGGTGCGGCAGAGAGGACGGACGTTTTTGGGATGTGTAGTACTCTCCGCCTCCGTCTAGGAGAGAGGTGGGGAGGGTGCCGTTTGACTCGTGAGATCCTAGCATTATTTTACCAGTTGTCGTTATGGGGCCTTGGACGGTGGAGCACCGCATTTTCGCTTATGATTGTTTCGTCCGAGTCAGTCATCGTCGTACAGCGTGAGTTCCGTCGCCACTTCAACATTCATCGGAATAGAGCTGTTCCCTCTCGAAACACCATCCTTCGTTGGGTTGAATCACTTCGCAGGTGTAGTGAACTGATCAACAGAAGACCAAGAGGAGCGCCGCGAACAGTTCGAACTCCTGAAAATGTTGAACGCGTTCCACAGGTTTTTCTTCGCAGTCCGACTCGATCTGCCCGGAAACATGCCGCTGCACTTCGCCTTAGTGATCGTTCGGTAAGGCGAATTTTGCATATGGATCTCCGCTTTCACCCCTACAAATCGGCCATTGTGCAACAGTTACAGCCCGGAGATTATGCACAACGAATGAACTTCGCACGTGAGATGGAAGCACTGATCGATCAAAATGAGAACCTCATTTTGTTTATGAGTGACAAAGCCCACTTTCACCTAAAATTGTCGTTATTGGGCTAATGAAAATCCGCAACAGTTACACGAAAGACCGCTGCACAGCCCAAAAGTAACGGTTTGGTGCGCTGTATCGCAAACTTGCATCATTGGCCCTTACTCCTTCGAAGACGGTAATAGTCGTGATGTTACCGTGAACTCAGAGCGCTACGTCTACCTGATCACCAACTTCTTTCTCCCTGAATTACGCCGGCGACGTGTTCCAATCCGACGTGTGTTGTTCCAGCAGGATGGGGCGACCGCCCACACAGCCCGAGCATACATGGACGTTATTCGCCCTCTCTTCCCTGGTCGCCTTATTTCCAGGTTTGGCGATGTTCATTGGCCTCCTCGGTCCCCAGATTTATCCATATGCGTTTTTTTTCTTATGGGGACACCTCAAGGCTAGAGTATACGCGAACAAGCCCCGAACTCTGAACGAATTGAAGGGCGAAATTCGCGTGGAAGTCGCCCAAGTTGAGAGAGCGATGTTGGTGAGAGTGTATGCGAACTTTCAAGAACGCCTCCAGCACTGCATCAACGATTTCGGCCACCACATGCCTGATGTGATTTTACCCACTTGACTGTCTCAAACGCTATTTCCTTGTGAACCTGATTCCATCAATAAATTTGTTTTTGAGTAAAAATTAACTATTTTATAATTTTTTTAAAACCGTCCATCCTCTCTGCCGCACCCTGTACTAGTTTATTGCATCACTCCCTTTAAATTAAAATCGTTGCAACGATTGCTGATTGTACCCAGTGACAAAATTGACAATAAACAGACTGGTGGAAGTGAGCGACTTGCACTTACATTATGAAATATCATGACACGTGCACAACGTGCGTACAGCGATGAGAATGCCGCGCGACAATTTCGTATACATTTTTGACTTTCGCTCCATACACTTGAGAATCATTTTATTTTCTACATAAAAGAATAATAGTTTAGCTATTTTAAGCGAAAATGTCATTACATTTAACTTCACCCTTAATTTTCTTGTAACATATTTACTGTTTTATAAAAGAAAAGTTGTGAATTCAATTCCCTACAAACGCGTTCTTTTAAATGTCAGAAAATGCTCCAGCGCTATCATGACGCCAATTTGAACTTATCATTATTGTCATCAAATTGTAGGAAAAAAAATATATATGTCCTAGCCTACACCTCACTTTCTAAAAGCCACAAAAAATAATTTGGCATCCATACATTTATGTTAGAAAAAAATTACATCATTGCACCATGCAAAGTTTTTTTATAACAACAATATGATTTTTATTTGTTTGTTGCAGATTTATTTAGTATTAATGCTACGATATCAATTTTGTCTAATTATCCGTTTACACATTTTTTTGAATCCATTTTTTTTAATTTTACATTCTAGTCTATTAAGATTACATCACTATGTATTTTGAGTATTCATAACTTGATTTTTTAATTTCACCTTAAACATTTTTAAATTCGAAGAATTTTAGTATCATTATTCAATTTATTGAATTCAAATACTGCCTTTTGAAATACAGATTTGCTAGTTATGCTACTATTACAGTTTTGCAGATAAAATCCTACACTGCCTCTGTTTTCATAGTTATGGTAATAACTATTTAATTATGTGAAGTTTTTTAAATGTAGTGGTAATAAATGGTTCTTCAATTTGAATATGAAAATGAGAACTAAATAGCATATGAAATTTTTTACATTCAACCACTGTAGTTCTTCTAACATAGACTAAGCATAGCATATTTGTTTTTATTTAAAATGATTCCCATAGTTTTATGTTGTAAAATTTGTAATTTTGAAAATATGTTTTCATTTGCTGTGAAAAAATAGTTGAACAATATAAAATATGTGGAAGAATGATTGTGTTATACACATTTTTATGAATACATACTAAGATTATGGGAAACTCTATAGAACTAATTTATCTTTTTTGATATTTTTGAAATAATGTATACATATTGCTCGTGAAACAGTAGTTTACTATCCACATACCTATATACCCAGATATTTAAATGATTGATTTTATTGATGGAAAGAAGAATGTGAGTTTATTATATATTAGGAAGTCTTATGAGAAATTCTATAGAATAAATAAAATGTATTCTATTAATGCTGTTTCCTTATTTTTAAGCTGCCATAAATATGTAGTTTTATGTGAACTGTTTTATAGTTTTCTCCACAATTCCTTTTATCTTGCCAGCTGCTTGATCAATATTTTCAGATACATGATACATTTTAATAACTCCCTGTTTCATGGAATTTCTTTACGTCGAACTGTCCACACAGGCACGGCGGCTACTATGAGAATCACAAAGACATTTTGCTAATCCGATTTTTGAACTGCCTAAGGTTCGTACAATTGGGAAAAGCTTCTTTTTGTAGATTGTTCCACAATCTCGACACCACCGGGACCAAGGAGCGGTCGTATCGGTACTGAGGTATTCCTTAACGCTAGTACAATCACGTGGACGGACAGATGTTATATACTGAATTCAACAACTTCCGGTACAAGCATTTGCCGCGGCCTCGCTCAGTAGGGGAGTATTGGAGGGTGTTGCCCCTTTTCCATATAATTTCAAACCACCAGTCAACAGAGAGGATCCAATTGTCAAATATACAGGGTGGTCCATAAGTCCTTTGAAATTTCAAATTTGAATAAAATTTAACGGGTGAGCGTGAGCGGCGCGGGCGAGGTGGGGGCAGTGTCTTCAGTGTCTGGGAATTCAGTCGCCATGGAGTGTTTCACTGGAGCGGATCGTGCTTTTTGTGTGCGCGCGTTTTATCAAAATAATGATTCGGCAACCATTGCGCGGCGTAAATTTCGAGAATACCACAATTTACACAATTTTACAAAGTGTCCAACAGCTCAAACGATTAAGAACTGGGTTGCTAAGTTCGAAGAAACTGGTTCGACGTTAGATAAACAGCGGTGGGGTCGCCCAAGGACAACTCGTATTAAAGAAAACATCAACATTGTGTCACAGTCTGTTCGTCAAAATCCTACCCAGTCTCGTAAGCGTTCCAGTGCACTAAACGTACCCAGAACATCTTTACAGCGGATTTTAAGGAAAGATTTACGTCTGCATGCTTACAAAATTCAGTTAGTGCAGGAATTAAAAGATAATGACGCTATTCAGAGACTAAACTTTGCGAATGAAATGTTGAATCGATTTTCTTCGCTCAATAATGTGTTGTTCTCGGACGAGGCTCACTTCCATTTAAACGGACATG